GAAGTAATTGGGAAAACATTACCTTCACTGGTCTCTTTTGTTAAGACACCAGGATAAACAGCATTTAGCTATTTTTGTGATGTACAGAGTAACCCTCAGAATAAAGAAAACTCATTTATCTAGTTTTACTCATAAAATTGGGATGCTATTTTGACAATATTTGCCGATATTTTTTAGGCTTCCTTGATGCCATAAAGAAGTGATTCGTAAGTCCCATGATTTTAAAGATTGTATTATCAAAAATAAATCACAGCTATTTACATGGAAACAGGATCTTGACTCTTGACCTTGCTGCTTTTAGACTTCCATGTCATTTTTCTCCATTATAATATCTGAAATACTGCTAACCTAATTATACACAAAGATCCTGTACTCTGCAACTATTTTATTAGAGGGGAGAAATTGGGATGAAATTACTTTAAGTACAGCCAACTCCAACACTCAAGATTGATTATCTAGTGTATGGATTATTCATTACCCTTGACACCTAGTAAGGCTATCTCTGGCCATTTTTGTAGTGGCTGGGAAGGAAGGGCCCTGACATTCAAATGATTCAAATCAGGTAATGTTATTAGTCCATAATGATAAAGTCCAGAAGGAAATGATGAAACATTGTTTTAAACAGGCTTTGCATGTCAATGACCTTCTCTATCTGCCAATACCAGGATCATCAATCATGACTCTGTCCAGCTAAATGGAGAGCTGGGGCCACAACAAAACATACTCGGCTCAATGAGAGGACACTCCATTGTTATTCCTCCTCTTTTGGTTTGATTTGAGTGAGCAAGAAAAGGGAAGCACAGAATAAACACTACTAGTCATTAGTTTTCCTTGAGAATCTTCCACAGTGAGCACTGCAAAAGAAGCAGGTACTTGTTAAATCGTGTTTTATTAAATGGTAACAGCCATAAAACCATGCAAAACATGAAAATGTTCCAGATAAAGTACCTTTATCTGGACCTTCTCATCTAGGTCACTCCTGTTACACTTTTTCACAATCATCTTACATTTTCTCTTTAATTCCCCTTTAGACTTCTTATCTGCTTCTCCATTTAAGTCTGAACTCCCTGACTTCAGGGCCTGTGTGCTTTCTTTCTTTACATCCTGCACATAGTACTCAGCAATAATTCCTCCAGTCAATGCTCTCACAACTCCACATGGAAAGTTACATGTCTCATCTACAACTGATTCCACTTTTTAACTATACAGAAGACACTGACTCATACCCTTGATTTTATGGCTAAATAAGTCAAAGCATCATCTGCTATTGTAGTAGGTCATATCACACTAGGAATATAAGAACTAATAATCAGTTTTACCCAATTCATTCTTATCTCCCTGAGTACAAATGTCAATACAGAGAGTTTTGAAACTTGTCATGTGGTGTAACAAAAGAAAACATATAGGTGCTTACTAGTGATTGCTTCTTACATATAAGTATGTATCTTTTTTTTTTTTTTTTGAGACAGGGTCTTACTCTTGTCACCCAGGCTGGAGTATACTGGCACAATTATAGCTCACTGCAGCCTTGAACTCCTGGACTCAATTGAACCTCCAGCCTCAACCTCCCAAGTAGCTAGGCCTACAGGCATGCATCACCACACCCAGGGAATTTTTTTTTTTTTTTTTTAGAGATGGAGTCTTGCTATGTTTCCCAGGCTGGTCTCTAACTCCTGGCCTCAAGCAATCCTCCCATCTCAGCCTCCCAAAGCACTGGGATTACAGTCATGAGCTACCACACCCGGCCACAATATGTATCTTTTTTTTTTTTTTGAGACCGAGTCTGGCTCTGTTGCCCAAGCTAGAGTGCTGTGGTGTCAGCCTAGCTCACAGCAACCTCAACCTCAAACTCCTGGGGTCAAGCGATCCTTCTGCCTCAGCCTCCGGAGTAGCTGAGACTACAGGCATGCACCACCATGCCCGGCTAATTTTTTCTATATATATTTTTTTAGTTGTCCAGATAATTTCTTTCTATTTTTTTTAGTAGAGACGGCGTCTCGCTCTTGCTCAGGCTGGTCTCGAACTCCTGACCTTGAGCAATCCACCCGCCTCCGGCCTCCCAGAGTGCTAGGATTACAGGCGTGAGCCACCGCACCCGGCCCACAATATGTATCTTCTAATTGCTTTTTAAGCTCAGAAATAGTAGTCTAAGTAGAAACATATATATTAGTAGCTTCTAATCTTATAAAAAGATACTCCCAAAGAAATCTCAAGCATTGTAATTTTATTTTTAGTTTCTTGACTACAAGGGACAACATTAAATTGTAAAGCTATGGATTTGTTGCACTGATAGAAATCCATAGGGGTAATCACTGTAAAACTTTATTTTGATGTTCCTGATAAGCACTGTAGCACAGAAATTCTCTATTAAAAGACCTTCTCTCTTAGAAAATGAATGTGTGTCTTTTACAACATACTATCTGCACTGATAGTAGGAAGTCAGTGGGCTAATGGTGCAAAGCAATGATACCGGGAGACAGTGGGCAGGGAGCAAGCAAGCAGGTGGCCTTGCGGCAGCTGCTGGAGAGGGAGAAGGCCAGGAGGCTGCGGAACCGCACTCCCGCCAACCAGAGATCCCACAGGGGGACCGCTGATGTGAGGCTGGCTTGTTAAGCTAAAGTTGCCCTACCTCTGGCTATCACTGCTTGACAGTGGTGGGGGGGGAGTGGGGAGGAGAGGAGGGAGAGCAGGATTTTAGAAATCTGTATAAATCAAAAAATGTTAATGTAAGGGAGGAGGGTTGGAAAGCACACTGAGAGGAAGGTGGATGAGGATGCACACGATCTGGGCAGACAGATATAAAAGATGCTGCACACTTCCACCACACCAGTGTGTCTTCCGATGCATATTTATTCACAACCAAATCCTAATGTGGCCATTCTTAGCACTGACCGATATTCTTTGCTAGGGTTTCAGCTTATCAGATGCACTTAAGAAAGAACTTCAATCTGTATAGTTTTTCTTCTAGACTTTTCCTCTTTTGATCTGCTAGTGTAAACAAATGTCACTTCTGCATTTCTCCAAAGGAAAGAATTACATGGAATAAAGATCAACTCCTATAACATGCCCCTGAGACAATATGTCAAAGTTGGAAGCCAGTTTTCTTTTGTAGGTCAAATGTGAACATAAACTATAACATTGAATTTTTTACCTATACGCAGCTTTTTAAGGATTCCAACTCCATGTGTCAAAAATGATAATATTACTCACGCCCAATTATTTCTAAAAAACCATATAAACTTACGCACTGTATTATGCCCCTATTTATCTTCATGAGGCTACTGTGTCCCCTATTACATTAAGGGATGAAGGGTACAATATTTGGTATTATTATCTTAGCAAGTCCTTCCTTCACTTCACAAGTCACCCTGTCCTTTACAATGACTTCTTTATTTTCCATAAGTCAAGTGTACAGTATTTGCCTTATTTCCTAACTAAAACTAATACATGCACATTCAGTCTCTTTCTTTTAATGTTAATTTAGATGAATCATCTACAATAGAAATCCTAAAGCCACATGCTCACATGTACACAGTCTTTAACGGAAACTTGACAGCAGTTGACTTAAAATAAAACAAGTCCTAAAAAGCAACCTTTGACAAAGACCAAAAGGATCAAAACTACACCCTCTTGCAACCACAGTACTACTGTATCCACCCTTCAAACATTTTTGCTTCAAACATTACAACCCAACCATTTACCAAAACCACAGCTTATTCCTGATTTAGAAAAGTAAAGTTCACAGACTTACTAAACTACACAACTCCAGCCAGAAAGCACAAATACCTTTTCTAAGCCTGGCAGTTATACAGCACCTGAACTAAAAACCCACATTATACAGCTCGGAATGAGTAGATCACTGTTGATCACCTTCTTTACATAATAAACAACTCACATCTTCAAAAAGTATTAACTAGTCCCTCTAGTGCCATAGCTTAATAGACAAGAACAAATGGTTTAACACACATTATCCCTGAGAAGGGTTGCATTTAATTCTCAGTATGTGCAATATAATTACTGTACTCTTAAGCATGTATTTAACTTAATTGATTGTCTCACATTTCAGCAGTTTTGCTTCCCAAAAGAGGGGGAAGAACAGGTCTCTGAAAGAGTCCAGCGAGGTTTCTCTTGGCACAAGGAAGAATGTGATAAACAGGGAAAACACAATCACGCGGAATGTCTGGACTAGGTCCCTTTGTAATACTTAAATAGCGCTCCCCTACTGGGCTTTGCCACTGCACCGAATGGAGAAACCATTTTACAGCTTAACAATTCAGTCTCTACACACTCTAACAGGAAGAACTAAGCAATTCTAAATACAAAATAGGGGTGTGTTAAGAAATATTGAAATATTTCCCTCTCTCCCAGCAGGACTGGTATTTTTCTTCACCTTCAGGGAGGCAAAACATGCTAATTCTGAGAACAGAGACCAACATTGGTCTGAAAAGAAACTTGACAGAAATCCAGTGACTCCTTTTGGCCGAGATATCAAGGGTTAGCACCTGGGTGTGTTCATTTTCCCCAGTGTCACAGCCCAACACCTGTTTAATTCAAGTGTTGGTGTAATTCATCTATCTTCTTAGAAGAAAGATGCAAGAGGATTATCCGTGATTCCCAAAGTTCTCTCAGTGTCAGTGTCCATGTTCTAACCCCATCGTTGCAAGAGCAGAAGATTCTGTCTGATGGTGGTTTACCATTGAACTTTTCGCAAGTCACATGAGCATGTGGATCTGACGAAGGAAGCAAGTGTGCTTGAGGAACAAATAACAGCTATTTTATCCTTCTTAGAAGGATACAATCTCAAGCTGCATCTAGCTGGAAGAGCATTTTTATTTTAGACACGTAAACAAATGAATGACGCTGAACTCCAATACAAAAACAAACAAAAAAGAAACTGCTAGTGGGGGCAAAAATCACGAAGGGAAATTACAGATAGAAACAAAGACTTCTACATAACAAACTTTTGAAAATGTTTGAATTAAAAAAAAAAATCAAGTCACCTTTTCTGGGCTGGGTTCTGTATATCCAGTTCTCATCGTCCGCTTCCACCTGCTGCCCACAGACCGAGAGCTCTCCATCACTGCGAAACAGCCTCTTTGTCTGCCTGGACAAGGAGGAGAAATTTATCCAACTCACAGCACGTGAGAGAGAGCCTGCATGTGGCTTGAGTCTGAAGGAACCTGAAGAGCGTTCCTTTTTCATCTTCTTTCACATCAAAATCGCCTAGAGACAAAGGACGGCCCCACAAACAAAAAGCTCCGTGTTTTAAATTGGTCCGGGTCCTTCACAGGGGCCTTCCCACTTACTCAGACAGTGTTGAGCGTCAGGCACAGCATCATGCAAAAAGATTGCTTCTGTGTCACCCAATTAAAAAGAAAAGGAAAATAAGGGGTTAAGAAAGAGGGGGAAAAAATGTTTTCCCTTAGGCACACTGTGGTACTCGGTTTCTAGATCAGCGATATCCACAGCCACAACATCAAAATAAATGAAAGCACAATTTCAAAAATGAAGCGGGGTGTTCATTTCAGGAGCACTTGTCGGGACTTTGCGAAGAACAGAACCAAGGCACTCCGACTCTTTGGCGTGTCCCCAGCATCCCAAACTGTAATCCTACTCCGCTCCCGGGCATCCTTCCCCACAAGGGCAGAGAGCTAGCCGGCTGCTGCAGAAGGAAGGAGCTCCTCGCCCTGGAGGAAAAGATTGATCGTGAAGCCTGGCACCCAGTCTAAAGTTCACCCACACAGGTTACTCGGAGAAACCAGAGTTTAGCTCACTTGGCCCAGCACAGCGCAGAATCATAAACCGCCCACTCGCCTCCTTCCCGTCTGCGCAGCGCTCGCTCGCTGGGAGCCGCAGGACTCCGCAAACAATAAAACAGGCGGCGTGGCTATTGCTTGGATCACAGAGCAAGCACTCCCGCGAAAGAGGATAGGCTTTCGCGACACCAAAGGCACCTCATTGGAGACAGGAAACTCCGCCTCTCCGCAGTCAATACTTCAGTGGCAGCTCAAACTTCTGAACTCCAGCAAAGCTGTGGATATGCAAGTCTGTGCGGAATACAGACTTCTGGGGATAAAAAGAAAGAACCTGCTTGTTAATTATCAGACCATACTTCTGCAAGTGCGATTTTGAGAAGCGGTTTAATACAGGATATAGTTCTATACATATCCAGCATTTCTAACTGGATGTGGGAATGCCATCATCTGAGGAAATATACTTCCAAAGGGAATAACACCCACCCAGCTTTCAGCAAAGGTGAAATGCAGCCATTATGCACCTGTAATCGCCTCTCCTGCCTGTCACCAGCAGCCAGAGTGTGGGGCTAGGACTCTCCTCTGCTCCCTCACTGGCAACTCCTGGGGGTCATTCCTCTCCAGCCTTGAGTGATTATCCTATCATGGAGAATCATCATCTCAGAGCTACGATAGTGGCAATTAGCTGCAGGCTCTAGCCCTAAGACTTCTCTGCGAACTATTTAGAGACACACCTTTGCAATGCATTTGGGTGTAGCATTTCACCCAAGGCCAACATACCCTAATTCCAAGGCCCTAGGAATGTTTAAAGTCCCTGCAACTTTCCATCACACAGACTTCAGTCAACATCTCCTTCCCCAAAGTGTTATTTGGAATAAGGCAGATAAGTAGAGAACTAGGTCTATCACACTTTGCTTTATTCAGCATGGATCAAAGATATTAAAATAACAAATTGCAATCGCAAATAAACTCCTATTAAAAATTATAAAGGTAGGAATTTGCATCATACATCTACTCCAATTCACTGAGATTTTTTTAAAAAAGGCTCTCCAAGCTGACCGGGACTGGACCACTTGTAGAAGAAAATCAGAACATCTGGAAGTACTCCTAGGATGGGCAGTTCATACTACACCATGGAAACGACAACAGAGGACAGGTACTACTAAGAGTGAAGCTACAAAACAGCCCAGGTGGCACACATACAGACTTAGTTTAAAAGACAAATGGGTCCTTAAGAGGTCATGTAGTTTAGGCCCTTCAATTTACAGCTAGAGAAACTTGGGCCTAGAGGAAGTATGTCACACCCAATGTCACACACAGGAGTCAGTAACTGGGACCAGACTGTGTCAGACATCACTGGGATCAGAGCTTCACACTTAGCAGGGATGCTTGCTACACTGCCAAGTGCTCTGGGCCTGTTTCGGTTATTAACTGGGAATGATAATTCTACTTTGACCACTATTATAAGGGCAAAAATGATATAATTATGCATATTGCCAGTGGCTAACATCAGAGTTCAAGCATCTGGTATATCCTTTCTGAATGAAAGACATTTTTTGAGAATCTCAAAATATAAAATGAAAAGTAAAAAAAACAAAAAAGACTACCTCACCAGAAAATCCAGAAACACCCCAGATGCTGTTTACCATTTCAGAGGTGAATGGGAGCCCTGACACACATCTATGCATACTCAAAGGGTCCACAGAGCCCAAACAATGAAAGCAATGCTCTCCTCCCAGTTGTCTACATTCTGTAGCTGTATTTTTAATCTAGAAATATCTAAGCTCTGTAATAAACCTTATGCTGTTCTTTATATACCAGAAGTGCTGTTCAGCACTTTTTCTCAACGCCCCCTCCTTGGAGTGTGCACACATTACAATAGCATGGATGAACTGGTGTCGTTAGTAACTAGTGAGCTTTCCTCTAGTACCCCGTCCCTGCACACAGCAAAGAGCTAATGGGAGGGGCTAAAGGAATATTTACTGCCAAGGAACCAAAAATGGTAAGTGGTCCATTCACGGACTAGAGCCGTGCTTCTCCCTCAGACTATGTCCACTTATGCTGGATTTGCAGAAACCGTATTGCCACAAACCCCAAGATCTAGGGATACACCTACATGATAACCAATTCTCTGTCTACTAGCTAGTCCATGTTTCTGTTATATTGGGCCTTGATTATTAAATCTTCATTTATGTAAAAGAATGTCAAATAAATTAACTACTTTTACAACTGGATCAGAGTTCCTATTGGCCAAGAGAGAATGTAATGGTTTAAATCAGCTTTGGGGGAAATATTTAGATTTTTAACTATCCATGCTAGATATGTACTACAATTAGCTTAGAAAGTCTTAAATTGGCTTCTTAAGAAGCTATTACATACATTCAAACTATATTTATTTAGCAACTACGATGAAGCACACATTTTAATTACCAGGACTATCAAGCCAAGAGCCATACAAATCCTCCCACCAGCAGGGCCATGGCTACTTTGGGCCACGAGGTGCATGTATATTATTGCTAATCTCCACAGTAACCCTGCCATGGAAAATCTCTACTTTTAGAGTATAATTGTTTCTTTCAAATAACTTCAGCTATCATCTTCAAAGTAACAAAAACATCTTAACTTAATCATTTTTCCCCCATGAAAATCTATAACGGAACACACTCTCCGTAGACCCTGTGTACAGACATGCTGAACAGATTTGATCCACGCTCACACTGTGCTGCGCTTCCCCACGCCCCTCTCACTGTCAGGCTGTCAAACTGAAACTCCTGCTGTCACCACGTGTGCCAATAACTGCTCCTTGCCTACCACTTTGCCATGGCTGAGCTTCAGGCATTGGGAATCAGATAACAAGACTGCTTAAATTACATGTTCGGTGGGAGTCAATGCCAGCTCGCAGAATAAATGCATAGCCTTCGTAGAATGGCTTTGTCGCAGCTGCTTCCTGGGCCAGCATCCTTGTCCTTTACCACCGGGATGGAAGCTCAACGGTTGAAGTGGCTAGAGGAGCAGCCCCTGGATAATGACCCTCGGGTGGATCTATACCAGGTTTATGATTGATTGCCTCTTTTATATCAATTTCTCAGCACTTGAAGGTGACTAACCCATCATTACTGACAAAAAGACAAGAAATTACTCTATATTATCTCAGAAATGATTTAAGTAATACATTAAGGAAAAGTTAACTATAAAAGCTAGAAGCACCAGAACATATTACAAGGGGAAGTTCTAGAGTCCTCTCCCTTGGGAATTCGTAAATCAAATACCCATTAATTTGGAAAGATTTATTTATGCTTCTACCAAGAGTCAAAGGGAGAGACTGAATAAGTTCGGAAGGTCCTTGCCAAAAGACACAGTATTTCATGTTTCAATATATATCGGCATCCTTAAAAAGGAGCTTAGCTCAAATGAGAGTTTTTGGTTTAATAAAAATTGTTACACGGGACAGGAGATAGGATTAGATAAACCCCTCAACCAGATCAGGCATGTGATTGTTCTACTCGCCATCTGTGGAAAATGCCAGCCAAAGTAGGAACTAATTTCAAGTGCCATCAGCTTTTTGGCCTCAAAGGCCACAAATGAGCACTGTGACTTTTAATTTCCATGTGTAGCTCGTCTGCCCTGTCAAACCTAAGAGGGAGATCAAGAGAGGCAGGACTCTGAAGTTAGAAATCCACGAGACAGTGCTGGCTGGCTAGACCCCTTGGGTTGGCTGGTGTGGCAGGGAGTGGGACACACACGGAAGGCGTACTGACAGAGACAACGCTGGGAAAAAAACCACGTACAGCAGTGAGCAGAACTGCTCGAAACTGTGTCCTGTTCTAAAGCAGGGAGCAGTGAAGTGTGCCCCTCATCAGATTACCGCATGAATCACCCAGACAACCCACAGGGACCTTTAGCTTCCAGGACAGGGCACAGCAGGTTTTCCAACTGTCATCTCCTGTGAATAATTTAAGAGTAGATTTAAATGGAAATCTTTCTATGAGGTAATTTGTACACACTAATAATGAAAGCTTATCTCAACATCAAAAGTAAATAGTTTGAGCCAGATATTTATAGCCAAAAAAACAAAACAAAAAAATCCCCAAACCATATTACTCCCAGGACCACAGCAAACAAGCTCCCCATGGTACACTAAATCCTCCCTCTCTTATCCACCCCTGACCCCCAATTAAACAACTGGACTCAAGGAAGAAGTCATGGAAGACAAAACACAGCCGATTACCTGTTCAGAGCCGGTCCTATTTTCAGGTTCTCTCACTTACCACTGCTTCAGGATTTAAAGGAAAGAAAAACACCGCCTTTTCATTAAATCCTAGTTTAAAAGTCATAGATGCCTTTCAATGGAATTAACGGTGTTGCTCCCCTGAAATGGCAAACACTTATGCATGCAAATCATCACAAGCCCAACTGCCACCTTTCAATGTCTTAGTGTCTCAAAAGAAC